AAGCTTCTCCTCTATACGAAGACGTTAGCGAGCCGGGATGCAAATGTCGTATCACTCATAGTTGAAATTGTCACTCTGGTCAACTCTACGGATTTGGATTCGCTGCCGGAGTCGGAGCTCATGTCTGTCGTTACTCAAACAATCTCTTTCTTCAACTCTATGGATCTGGATTCCCAGCCGGAGCCGCTAAGGAAGCTTATATCAATCTTTTCTCAAAAATATTTTTCGGATTCAGAGTTGGAGCTGGCCCTGGATTGGGACTTCATGTCGCTCGTTGATAAAACATTGACTTTTGAGCCGGAGCCGAAGCTCATATCACTCATCCTTGAGATAGTCACCCTTGTCTTCTCCATGTATACACAGTGGGACAAGCTTATTTCCTTATGTCCTCGCTTAAATGTTAGTTTGAAAGAGGAAAAGTTTCATGTGGAGCCCAAATACAAGATGTGGAACGGCAAGCTGGAGTGTCTCCCTTTCAACTGGCAGAAATTCTGGTTAACAAGAGGAGAACTCGCTTCCCATTTTCTCTGCCAAGGTTGCAACGGCAAGAACCATAAAGAATATAACAAGGCTCCAGCTGAGATCAAACACCCTTTTCATCCTAAACATCCTCTTCTCCTCGTCTCCTTGCAAATGCTTAGTAGCACGAGGAAATGCTATTGTTGCGATGAAGATCTCAAGAATATCTTTTATTATTGCTCCGCTTGCGAGTTTGCTGTTAATTTTGCTTGTGTGCAGAAACCACCAGAGTTGTCTATGCACCATCCCAAGTGGCATGAGCATACTCTTGCTCTGTTTCCAACGCAGACTCCATTTCCTTGCAGCATCTGTGCCTTGACACATTCAAGCGGTCCTTTCTATACATCAAGCGGTCCTTTCTATACATGTCCCCCTTGTGACTTTGTTATCCATCAAAAGTGTTTCAGCTTACCACGTGTCATAAGGATATCTCGCCATCCCCATCGTATCTCGTTTACTCCTTCTTTTGACCCTGAAAAATATTGGTCTTGTGGTGTTTGTCGCAGAAAGATCGAGAATGATTATGGGTGCTATTCTTGCGTCAAGGACGGCTGTTCCTATGCGGCTCATTCGAAATGTGCCACACAGACCAATGTGTGGGATGGTAAAGAACTTGAAGGAGAGCCAGAAGAAGACATGGATGAAGAAGTCGAGTCGTTTGTGACGATAAGCGATGGAATTATACAACATTTCAGTCATGAGCATCATCATATGAGACTTGATGTGAACACAGACAGAGATTACGACGAGAATAAGTTGTGTCAAGCATGTACCACGCCTATCTATTTTGGTAACTTCTTCTCCTGTATGCAATGTGATTTCATTCTCCATGAGAAATGTGCTAATTTTCGTCGTAAAATACATCATCCGACACATCCTCATCTGCTCACTCTATCCAGAACATACGAAGGTGAGCATCATGCGTTTGCATGTTCAGCTTGTTCTGTGTGGTGCACTGCTGGTTTCTTCTATGAGTGCAATGAAGAAGCATGTTATTTTAAGGTACATGTGCAGTGCGCCACAATTTCTGAGCCGTTAGTCCACGAAAGTCATATGCATCCTTTATTCCTAACATCCAAACCAGAAGAGGAGCAAAGAACATGTAATGTTTGCCATAATTTAAGAAGGGGTGGTAGTGAAACATTCAATTGCATTGAGGAGTGTAACTTTTCTTTGTGCTTTGGATGTGCTACTATACCTCATAAGGCGAGGTATAAGCATGATAAGCATATGCTCACTATTTCTTATGGGGAGAAGACTAGTACCATGACGTATTGGTGTGAAGTTTGCGAGGGAAAAATAGATCCAAAGGAGCGGTTTTACATGTGTGATGAGTATTGTTGTGTCACCTTACACATGCCATGTATGCTTGGTTGGGACTTATACATGAAGCCCGGTTCATCGTGGATAAGAGGCAGTAAAAAAGTATATGCTTTGCCGAACAATCATCATATGTCTAGACCTATTTGCCCCCGTTGTGAGAGGCGCTGTCCATACAAAACAGTTCTCAAAGAGAATGAATTAGCATTTTGTTCCATATTATGTATTATGTGGAAGAAGTAACCCTGTAGCTTCATTTACTTTTTTCTTGTTAAGAGAAATATTTATGAATTTGCATTCTGTTGCATTGATTAGTCAAACAATGATATGTCCAATATTGTTATGAGATGTTTCCAGGGAAATTTTTCTAAAAGAAGTATCTTTCTTTGCATGTGATTCTTGAAAGACTTCCTTCTTTTAACTAATATCCCAAAATCTCAAACACATGAGATGAGAAAGGAAGATACTGTTGAGCCAAACCCTTACCATCCTTTCCCAAACCCTCTTCTCTGAATCCCTTTTTTCTGGATGTGATAACCCTTTCTTTTGTATCAGCATCCATTTTTAGTTACTTAAATCGTACCAGATGATCAGTTTTGCACTTTGATCGTGCTTATATATCGTTTGTATATGATGGCCTTGTGTTGTGGATTTCTGATCTGCTGTTGCCCTTCGAGGATCTCAGGAGAAAAGGATTGCTCTCTGATGTGGAGAAAGATATACCCGGTATGATATATCCTGCTAAGTAAAGAAAGAGTCTTTGCTTCAAAACTTATCCTGCTATACCCAGTATGATATTTATCGTATATATGCTTTGAAAGCAGCATACTTTGATCTCCATAGGTTTTACTGGAAAGAGAAGGCAAGGGAAGAAGAAAAACACTCTTCTGCCTTGAGTAATTAAATATTTCGTATCGAAACCAGAGGGGGAGGATGCATTCATTGAAGCTGCAGTGATGGCATTAGCAGGTTGCTTTCGTTAGTCCAAAAAATTGTGCAAAGATAAAGTGAAGTATATGACCTGTATAATGTCTGTTATAAACTATATCATGTGGTTTAAAATTAGACCAAATGAATTCACAACAAAATCAAATTGGCCTCAACAAATATTTCCAGCTTTTAACATTAACAAGACTCTACATTACCCCAAAAGAAGAGGAGGATTCTTTTAGCCATAGCAGCAAATCAATTTTTTTACTTCCACCACCAAAACTGTCGAAACAAAAACATCTTCCTCATCCTATTATTATAAGCCATGAAAGCTCTAGCTTTGACTGGATCACCATTCAGATACTCAAACGCATACATCTGTTTTGCTTCTTCCAATTCATCAATCTCCATCACTGCTTTCAACAATTCCTCTGTGTTAATCAAAGTTTTGCTTTGAACCACTGCATCAGCTAGGTGGCGAATGCTAGAAGCAACCACTAACATTGCTTCTTGACAAGGATCCGAGTTTCGAGAACGTTTAGAAGGTCGTCTTAAAGGATCTCGAGGAGGAGGAAGATCTTGAGACTCTTCATGCATATACTCACTTGCTCCTGCGTATGACTCTGTTCCATCTGTATCGCTATGTTCTTCAGAATTTCCTAAAGGGAAGGAAACAGAGTCTTCTTCAAATTGTTTTACGTCATTAAGATGATGACTGCTTTCCTTCTTCACTTTGTTATATTTACCTGGAGTTTGATAGTCACCGCATACTGTTCTAAGTTCTTCGTACATCTCAATTTGCTTTCCCCTAAATGCTTTTGCGTCTGGGTTTACCTATTCCAACCATTTTTAAGTTTGGTAATGATGCACAAAAGAAGGATGATCTCTTAGTAAAAGAGAAGGGATAATGGGACTTACAGCAATATATCTTCTCCAGAGCTCATCACTTTCGCAATCGATCATTTTTGTGCTCGAGTTCCACCAGAATCCATCCCGGCTAAGTATGTCTCTCATAACTCTGTACCTTTTCTTGATCGTCTTGAGGCGATTGATGGCTTTCTGGCTAGTCAAGTTAAGATTGAAACGAGTATTAACCGCAACACAAGCAGCAGTGTAAGCCTTATCGTTAAAACATTTGTCAACTTTGTTCCCGTTTTTGGCCTGGACAGCCAAAGCTTCAATCAAACACTTATCCATTCCAACAGACCATATAACATTTCTCCCCTTATGCTTCATCTCTTTTCTCTCTACTGGAATCCCATATTGATCCATTCCTGGTTCACGTAGAATTCTATGCATATCATTATACCATAACATCACAATAGAAAAAGCTTGGTCGTTCTCACAAATAAACGAAGCTCTATACCATTTTCAAAATCGATCGACCTAAACTCGTCTCTCTTCCAGATATTCGAAGAAGAGCTCTGAAACTAACTTAGCTAATGATTTTTAAAAAAGAACTCAAATCAGCTCTCAGTAGTAGAAATCAAATGCGTATACCTTCACAGAAACGAAATCAGATTGACGGTGATTCAGATCGCCGCCGATGAACGGAGGAGTCAAAAGTGGTGGAAGTGCGACATTTCCGATAAGGAGAAGCTCGATTTAGGGTTTGGTTTCCCCTTTATCTTATTTCGTATGGATCGGAGGAGTGTTTCTTCTTTTCTCGAAATATCTCTCTCTCTCTGAGTACTTGTTTCCCGAGAAACCCAGAGTCGTCGAAGAAGTTTTCTCATTATCGCTTTTGACAAAACGGTTGCGTTTTTAATAAACCTTTGAAAAAATGGACCCAGAATAATAATCGGTTTTTGTCTGATATTTTCTTGCGCCTTTTCCCGGAAAATTTCTCTGAAACTTCTTCTTCTCTGGCTTTTTTTGTTCGTCTCGGTCAACGTGGCATCATGTATAACGGGTCAAACCCGAAACTAGATACTCAATGGGCCGAGTTTGATGTAATTCACAAAGCCCAAACTCATCGGGTTAACGGGACCGACCCGATTCTTTCGAAAACGTAAACCCTAGCTTCCTCCATTGTCTTATATATTGCCGCCTGTGATTACTTTTCTCAATCAACTCATTCTAATGATCGATTATTCCACAAAGTAGTTCTTTCATGTTTCGGTTTTTCTCTTCTTTTTTCGTTGCTTGATTTGGTTCGATGGTTTTCTGTTTTTGAAAGATTTGAATCCATTTTTGTTTTCAATTCGATTTCGGCTAGATTAGGGTTTAGAGTGAAGGCAGTGATGATTAAAAACTACCTATTTTATGAGTAATTCTCTGATTAGAAAATTTACCAATGGATCCTTCTGAGCCTTCACTGCTTATTTGTATTCACAATTCAGTTTTCTCGGGAAAATTAGGGTTTGGTTTTTACTGTTTAAGATTGATGACGATGAGAAAGAGCCGATGGAATGATGATAACGATTTTTCGGATATATTAATTTATTGTGTCGACCAAAACTCAGACTACAATTATCTGACTAATTGGCTCTTTCTCTCATTAATCTGTTATTCTTAATTTTAATCTTCTGTTTTTGGATCTCTTAATTATGTTTTTTGAATGATTTGGCTAATACAAGTTTGAACGACTTATGAACGATTTATGAAGAGCACTGTCTATCACCGTCTTAATTTAGAGACTGCTTACTTAGTTCGGTGACGAGTAATGTGGATTCAATAAACATTCACAGTTATGAAATTAGAAAAGACATAAATAATTTTTGACCTATCATTTAACAAAGAACAAATCATAAGAACGATATTTAAACGGCTGTTAACTCTGTACTTTGCAAGTTGAGATTGTGGCCTTAATCTAGTTTAAACTATATGCTGGGTTCTTTTAGTTATCAAAAGTAAACCCGGTTATCCATCCCAACCGGTTAAGATATCGGTTTAAACTTAGAGTACCAATAGGAACAGTATATACTGTTCCCTTTGTAAACAAAAATTGTGTACGAATAAGAACAGTATCCACATTCTATCAATCTTCACAGAAATGGATATTGTATACCAAAATCTCCAATTACCGAAGCAGTCCAGTTTAGCCAGTGTTACTGTTACAAAATTGAATCAGATTTGGAATTAGTCGAATAATGATGAAGACAAGACTTGTTTTTGAAAAGCCTTGAAGCCAATTGAGACAGTAATAACTTTATCCATTCATTCTTTCTTTTAGTTTATTATCTCTGATGAATCTGTTGTGAGTTAAAAATGAAAATCTGTGTCTGAACAGAGTATAATGCTAATTCAACCATGACAAGCAAATATTGAGGACCAAAGAACCATAGTCTTATATATGGTTTAACGCCATCTTTTGTTTTGGTTCCAATATGGATGAGTAGAAGAATCATGTTTCCTTGATGCTTGTTGTTGTTGTCCCCTCATGTTAAGCTGGTTCCTACTTGGGCTATTATCAGGACTCCATGATTCATAACCTGGATTGCTACTCATGTACTGGCTATTCCCTTGGTATGAAGTAACTTGTGAACCCGATGCAATCTCATTTTCTTGATGCGAGTAGTAACTGTTCTGACTCTGCTGAGTCCTCCATGAACTCGATGTACCTGTTCCCATTTGTCCTACTGGTTCCCTAACTGCATACGAGGTTGTTGAGATTGGTTGTTGTTGTTGTTGTTGTTGTTGTTGTTGAAAATGTAAATTGTGATGAAGTTTTGGTTGCATATATTGTTGCTGTTCTCTTTCTGTGTGAGCCAATGTGATCGAGTTACTGTATGCTGATGGAGCATGTCGTGGGATTGATTGTTCATTTGTTTGATGCCATTGCATTGAACCAACACGAAGCTGTGTACCCGATCTAGCAACTGCAGTACCAACTTGGTTTTGCCTTGAAAATGGATTCCGAATCCCTTCTTGTCCCCATCCACTCTGTAAAATTGGAACAATACACTTAACTCAGTAAGAGAATAAGAAACAGACATTAACATCTTCTAATGGGGGCATTGTACTCATCAGGTTAGATCTAACAGCTGGAATTCATAATCCAGTTTGGTGTTAGCTAGAGCCTGTTGTAGTTCTTTCCTTTTTTCTATATGTCGTGAGATTCAATTTGGCAACATGATCTATTAATAGGGTTTTGGATATGTCCGAGGAATTTGGGGTGAATAGGTTTCAAGTAACGCACCATTCCAGGATTAGTTGATGGAGTGGGAGATGGAAGGGAAACTTCGACCCTTTCTTCAACCTGTTTATTTGAGCTACTGCTTGAGTTTGGTGCACCAGTCTTAATCACATCAAGCAGTTTTACCATATCTTGGCCGGCTAAATTACTGGGTTTTCCCGAAGTTAGTGCATAAACAAGATCTGGGTTCTTAAGTAACGCAGCTAATAACTCGAGATCAGGTTCAGGACTGCTTAGAGATGAAGAGGTTGTGGCAGCACCAGCAGCAATTCTTCGTTCATCAAGTGAATCCTGTGGTTCCGTTAAACTTTCTTCTGGTGGCTGTTGAGATGGAATTTCAGGGGTCAAACTGTCATCATAGTCCATTTCCCTATCCCATGGTTCTTTAGGGTTCAACGGTATAGTTTGAAGAGACTGATATGTTGTTTCTCTTTCTCGCCGGTTTCTGTTTCTCTGAACATCAGCCTCCTTGCTATTACCACCAGCGGCTACTCTCCAGAGTTCGTCAAGTTCCATTCCTGAAGAAAACTAGGCATTAGAATGAGTCCTAACTAACCACCAAAATAGAAGTGAACCAAAGAAGACCCTAAAGAGTCACATTCAGCTTATTCAATAAGTGGCCAACGAGATATAAATCCAACGAATGATATTACCTGGTGGTACATGCCAATCAATCTGTTTTCTCTTGCAATTCTTGAGAATAGTTTGTGAACTCATTTTCATCATAACTCCCACCTTACTAGAAATGCTTTTAGGAGGTGTTGAAGGTTTTTTAATTTCATCAGCTTGTACCGGGACAATTATGGCCGAAGGTCCATTGAAGGGCTGAAGAGCCGAAGGTCCATTGACAGGCTGAACAGCCAAAGGTCCATTGACGGGCTGAACAGCTGAAGGTCCATTGACGGGCTGAATAGTTGAAAATCCATTGACGGGCTGAACAGTCGAGAGTACAGGTGTGTCTTCAGTCTTAGCTTCATTGTTCTGAATAGGTGGAGAATCCTTGGCTGAATGAAGAGCCAAGGGCTTCTCAGGAGCAACGATTTTCGAATCACCAATGGCACTTGGTAAAGGATCCTTTTTACTGTTCTTGCTCTGCATATAAAGGGCACGCATCTTTGCTTTCTGAATATCATCAGCAGACATTGGGCGGCTTCGACCTGAAGTTCCTATTCTTACTGTCTGCGGACTCTTTCCAGCAGCTTTTTGGCCTGGTTGTTCCACCATCTGTACTTTCCTGCGTTCTTTGTTATCTGCTGAAAGCTAAGGAAACTAACTTTGAAGTGAAGGATTATCCTGAGCTAGGAAAAGGACTATAACATGATGTGGAATATTTGGTTGCTCTCTTGACATAGCAGGTTTCACATGTAAAATACCGACTAAATAACAGAAGTAGCCAACAAGTTCAATACGTTAACTTATCCAATGCATTGAGAAAATGTAAATCAACTGGTGCTTTTTAATAAAAGAGCTCAAACGAAAGGATACACGATGGATTTGAACCAAGCATGTGTTTCTTGGTGGAATCATCTGCAGAAGTAAGCAACAGTTTTGGACCCTGTGACGATTCAATCCTCCTGTACCAGAAGATAACTAGTAATTATGAAACCACCTAACTATCAAAAGGGAACCTGTTCTAGATGGAATTTAACAATCAAACTGATACCTGACATTCTCTGACTTTCCATTTGAGAGACTAAGAATATCTTCCTGTTACGACACGAAAAACGGTTTTAAGGAACTGATGCACGTAATAGAAATAAATTCATGTTTTGCACCACTTACAGGATTGCTACTATCACCCATGATTTCAGCAATACTGCATAACAAGACAGAAGTCTATGAGTAAAATGTCACTAAACAACAAAATGAGAGGTAAAATAAGTATTATTCGACACATAAACCAAAACTTGCCTCTGTTTCAGAAGCAATTGACTCTGCGAATCAATTTGCGAACTGTTACGATTTTGTTTCTTCATAGCTTGGATTTTCGCAAATAACTTGGTCCACCTTGATAACAAACCTTTTGCCCTGTTTGATATGTCTGATCTTCAAATCAGATGATGAAATCGAATAAATCACAACAAGAACTTTGGCATTGATGAAAGCTACGCAGCATTTAGGTTTTTCAGAAATTACACCTGATATCCTATAGAAACGAAGTCCATTAACGCTTTGTAATATGGCAGACATATTTTCAGGAGATGCTTTGTGGAGAGGTAAATGACAAAGAACCTGCGTGTTAAATGTCAATTATCCATAATAAAACAATCTGCATATTTTTACAGCCATCCAGCTGCAAGTAAATTAATCTCGTACCTTCAGGATAAGAAGTAAGACACTTGTTTGCTCTTCACTAGCAGCTTGACTTAACCATGTTGTAAGTATCAAAACCCCTCCTTTTGATAAAAACCTGTGGCACATATAGAAAATGACTGTCAAGACGGGAATATAATAACAATAAAATAAAATAAGACAGTGGGTGAAAGAGAACCCCCAACTAGTACCAGATCAGCACAGAAGCATCTTGTATCTGCATGATCCACTCCATTAGTTTCACCTGGCCTGAAAATGTTTCCTCTTTACGCAGCAGAGAAAATATATTCTCAACAAAGTATTTGTCTGAATCGCTGATGTCAGGTGGAATATCTTCAGGTGGAATAAGTGCCACTGTTTCACCTTCACCCCAGCTTATAGAACATGCCTCCGGATGTATAGAGTTCAAGGGAACGGGTTCAACATGATTTGTGGCATTGTTATTTTCCGGAACACCATCATCTTGTAAAGCATGCGTATTGGACATAACTACTTTCTCCCTTGAAAGCCTCACCTGTTTCCTCACTCTTGTCTTTTGAGTAACAAAAAATTCTCGAACCTGCCATTGAAGAAAATAATAAAGAGACAAACCAAAGTCTCATGAGTACCTCAACATGACAGATCTAAACTGACATGGAATTCTAAAAGCATGGCAAAAAAGAGTACATATCATGTAGAAGAACAATACCTGGGCGACTGTGATGCCAAATAAAGCACTTATCTCCCGAGATTCCCTCTTACTAATAGCATCTTTAATTGCGAAAACTGCTTGTAGATACTTAACAGCCTTAGGATTCAACAAGTCTCTTGGCCGCTTTCCTGAAATATTTACAAATTCATCAGATACTAGGCATCGAGCACGTAAA